GGGGGGGGGGGATCGGGCCAAATTAAACATAATCCAAATGCATGGACCCATATAGCACGGTTAAAGATTCATCCACCACACAAATGTGGAACATTCAACAAAGGGGTAGAGACAGATATTTAATGCCTAAAACCCTACCATTTGCAACATTTTTGTCGTTTTTTCTTCACTTTTAATCTTTTTTTTATTTATCGGAGACAAATACTTGGATCGATTCTGATTTTGTTTAGCCGTTGTAGACATGCTTTTAATTTATACATGCCTTACATAATGAAAAACAAATTTAAGCCCAGTAGTTACTTCTTTGTTTGTCGATAATTTCTTTGACTAAAATCGAATCAATCGCAATATTGTAGTTTTTTTTCTTGTTCTTAACCAAGAAAATCATATTATCAAATTGCACTGCCATTTGAAACTCAAAAGAAATATGTTGTGTCGAAATAGTTTTTCGGTGACTATGATTATGAGTGTGGAATGCAAAGTGAAAATGTGTCTGATTTTTATTTTATTTATAAGCACCTACAGAAGTCTATTAACTAATTAGTGTAAATACCAACAAATCAAGAGCATGATTAGTTGAAAATATTATGATAACTGGAAAAATACGAACTATATAATAGTGGTGCATTTGATATGATTTTTGAAACTGATATTTATGTTCCGCCAACTAAAGATTTTTTTTAGAGTCAAAATTTAGGTTTTTGTTTGTATTTATTAATTAGACATGTGCTTCTATCATATAAACATTATTATTTTTTCTTAAGTTATTTTTATCATTCAAAATCAATTGAGATTTAAATTGTATTTTAACCATGCAACGTTTATATTAGTAACGTGAATAAAATAATTTATATATTTGTAGCATATATTAAGAAAATTAATATAAATAAAAAAAAATTATTGGTGTTTCTGATTTTTAGAAATAAAAAATATATGTGCCAATCATGCACAGATGTACATATAATATTATAAGTAATATTTGAGAATTTAATATTAAAATTTTAGATAATGAACATATTACATTTTCAAAAATTTGATCATTAGAAAAAAAAAAGAACGATTTTATTATGATGAAAAACTGTATATTACCATTAGATACTAACTGTTTAATTATTATTCTTATTTTTATTATTATTATTATTATTTAAACAATTATTTATAAGATTCTAAAGTTGTTTGACTATGCTATTAAAATAATTTACTAATTGTTTTTAAAGA